CAAAATATAAGTCTTATGCCACTTGAGAATAAAAAAGTATAGTGAGACTTTTTTCCTAAAGTGCACAACATTGAATACAAAGTACAAAAGGTCATCTCTTGTCCTTATGGCATGTATTTTGTTCTTTCTTTTTTGTAAAATGAGGCACAGTTTCAAATCTGTAAACAATTTCACCTAGATAGATTAAACATTATGTAACTATTGATTGTTAAATACTCTATATGATCTTACCTGGTCGTACATTATGATTTTGTCTGCAGTTGTATATAGCAGTGTTGCCTGTGTAAACAGGTCTCTCTTCTTGTCTTTATTTTTTTCCTTGTGTGCTTTCTGTACATAGTAAGCTGCCAAGGTGTCCAGTGCTCGCATCTGGTCCTTCTCAAAGTTAGGATAGTCCAGTCCGGCATCTGTACGGGAAGCATCCAGAATCTTAACAAAGTCTTCCACATAGCCTTGCTTATAGTATTCCAACTGAAATAACATAAAATATTTCTCTAAATGAATAAATACAGAATAGAACTATATGCCTTCTATGTCTTGCAATTGTTAATACTATAAACAGGCTATAAAGTAAAATATTTCAGTAGATACCCAAGTTTTAGACCCAAATAGAATTTTTAAGATCAAGAACAGCAAAACAAATGTCATATAGTAGTTTTCTGGTATTTAGTATGACAGCAAGACTGTGTCACAATCAGTTTTGCATTGGTCAATCCTATAATCTCTGAATTTCATTTTTTTTCATAAAATATGCATATTGATTCTAGAATTTTTCTCTATGTTTGAAATATATATTTACACCCTTATCATTTCATCATTATATCATGTATATTCTAGATATTAATCTACAATTAATGCACAGCTTTAAGATTAAACATACTCTACTCAGACATTTGTCAGATGAATATATAAAAAAATCTCCATGACTTACAGCTAAAGTAACCCATAGATGTAATGGAGCAACTTCCTGTCTTAAAATACTGAGAACTTCTTCTCCTTCTGGTAGTTGATCTAAATCTAATTCTATCACCTGAAATAAATACATTAGTCTTCTTCAGAAAGAAATATCATAACTAATATTCAACAAGATATTCACAACTGAAATTTCTGTGTTACTGATACATGTGATATAAGATTTATATTCTTGATTTTCGACATAAATAATTTTGGATACAGCCATGACAGTTTGGAAATAAATGTTGAAAAGGCAAAACTTTGAATGAAGTTGTGACATCAGAAATCCTATTTTCCAATATTTTATGAAACATGTACAGCAAACTTATACATAAAAATGTATATCATTTAATGGGAACATAAATTGTAGAAGGGTTGATTTGGGTCTGTACATGTACTATGGATAAAAAAACTTTCCATAACTAGGCGGAAAACTTCCTTCCAGTTTTGGGGTTCATGTCTGAATTTTTAATAAAATATCATTTTAGGCAAAAACATTTTTTTTGTACACCAAGTCACCAACTGACCAAAAAGAAGCATGCTATTGTTAAGGCAAATATACCATGCGACCAACTGACAAAAAGGAGAATATGATTTCCTGCAAATTTGTATATCTGATAAAAGAATACATTTGTAGTTACTCTAAACAATTATGATGTCTTGAATGGCTATTTCAATTTTGTGCTGTTAAGCCTTCTTACGATGTCATAACACAGAAGCCATTTTTCACTTTCGTAGAGTATTGAATGAATCTACAAACCAAACTCCGTCAGATTTGACAGACCTTAATTTCCAGATGATATAAATCGAATGTTCCAGAAAATGTAGGGAGTTTGGAATATAAATCTATTTTATTCTCTCCATAAGTGGATGATCTTTGGAAATCTGTGTAACATTTGGAAAAAAAGGTAGGTCATTGTCAACTCAGGTTGTAAAGCAACTTATTTCAACATTACTTTTGGATTTCTGGAAATATTTTGCACTAACAAGCACACAAGAGGTAAGAATTTGTTTACATGCAAAAATGTCTAGCGGTCAGTGAAGATTTCATGGCAAAATTTCCTCGCAAAGTCCAAGCGAAACAAATGGCTTCGTCTTCAAAACGTTGTAGGAAGGCGTCACAGCAAAAAAAAAAAAATATACATGTATAGCCTTTCAAGACATCAACTTGATCAAAATTTTTCGACTACCGAATAGAAGGAGGACAAAGAAAAAACAAGCATGCAAAATCCACTTATTAAAACCCAATTGCATTCGGGAGCTCACCAGATAAATATTGCACCTGACTCATATTATTCATATCATAGGTTTTTGCTTTCTCCCAGATTCATGCTTATAATTTAAAATTTTCCCTCGATGTTACAAGGTAAATTTTGGATCAAGATTCAATCCCTATGTCAAGGGTTAATTTTGGATCATGCTGTAACAGATATATAAATACCTCGTCTGTATCCCTTAAAGGGATTTCAATGGAACCCGACATGGTTCAGTTCTGCAGCGTGTAACTATTTTAGAAAACAAAACCATGAACTAATATTCGGCATTGGGCATTCGGATAGTTTTTCTTCAGTGCTCTTCCGCTTCCGTTGTGACTTTATCTTAATACCAAGTTGTGATATTGGCAGTAAAGCACTGCAACGGCTAAAAGTGTCAAATTCGAACGGGCGAGCGTTATTCTCAATCACTGAAACAGTATATTTTAAACATTTGATATATTTAATTTAGATTCATTTGCGTAAAAATAAAAAATATTATAATTTGCCGTCTGTCACCGATATTGGACAGCATGTTTTTTTTTTTCTGTCAATCATGATAACTTCGTCTGTTTTTCACAAAAGAAAAGCAACAATACATATGGGAAAGCCTGTGACATGATATCTTTACTAGTTAGTGCACTATTCCCAGGTAATTTTAGAATTTAAATAAAAAAGATTTGAGATAAGGTATGTGACAGGTATGTGAATATGATTTCTTAAACTGTACCTTTTAATCTCTATTAGTGGACTAATACTGTACACTCCTACAGGTAAATGTTCATCTGATCTAACGGATTAAGAATTTTCATCATGCGCCAAATGCTCCGAGAAAACAGTGCCTAACGTCACAGTACCCGAATTACACCGAGTACCCAAATTGCACATATTCAACAAAAATAGCTGCGAAAATCTAACAAGTTTTCTTTGAGACTAAGTAATTTGTATTTTTATGATTTGACATTATAGACGTCTTTTAACATAGGTAACTATATTCAAATATACAAAAAAAACGTTCACAGTATATATTTCAACAGACGAAGCACACTGGAAAAAGTAAAATCTACTGAACGTCGCCATGCGACGTTCACAAAAAGTCATCTTTTAAAAATGAGCAAATAAAATATGTTATAAGCATCTATTTCTTAAAAAATAAATACTAAGCATGGACTAATGTCAAATTTTCTAAATATTTGAAGAAATAAAACAAAACAACTTTTATTCGATTTTTAAGGATGTGAATTAATTATATATAAAGCATGGTTGCAATTTGGGTACTCCTCATTACAGAATCATGGATCGTTTGGAGGTGGGTCCAAACCCATTTTTCTATGATTCACTATGGGTTCAAAATTAAATTGGTGTAACTATACAGTAAAAAAGGAAACATCTACAAAATAAGCACAGAATGGTAACTTCTGTCTGGATCGTTAAAAAACGTAGGTGAAAAAACTGTCAAAATAGGTGCAATTTGGGTACCCTCACGTTAGTCATCGTGCACTTAGTCGAAATTTAGAAATCATATGTTTGTTCGTTCTTTTAATTTTGATTATGACTCAAATTTAAATTGAAATTTAAACAATCTATATGTACGCGATTTCTTTTTTCTTTTTCTTATTACCATCCCTCATATCAGAACAAAATCAGATAAAGATCTCAATTATTAAATTTTGGTTATATCAATCTATGCTCTGAAATTCTTTTTTTTTATTTATAATCATTAATTTATAAGTATTTCTATCAAGAGGTAAAAAAAAATGAATCGATGTCTCCTAGCCCTTATGATTTGCCTTACTCGTGTAATTCTGAGGATTCCTGCATTGATGCAGATAATCATGCATCACAATTGTCGTCTGAATGTTTCCAATATTTTAACATATCATATATTGATTTTAGAAAAAGCGGATAACGACCGACCTCTCCTGTAACAGTTATAGTAGTAGTTTTCTTATTTATACCAGAGACATGTATTGTAATATTTGTCTCTGTTTTTCACATAATAAAATTTGCACATTTTTTACAAAAACGGGATAAAAGGATAGTCATTACTGGCAACGAGGAAAAGTAAAAAAAAAAACCTCACGAACCTCTCCGTTGCAAAACATTTCGAATTTTTCTCAGTAACCGTTGAAGCCGCAAACACGAATATTCACTATGGTCTTTACGAAGTAATCATAACTGTTGGTTTTGTTATGGACTCGATTAAAATACAAACACAAATATCGCACACAAAAGCAGTTTTTTTCTGAAGAGCCAAAAATTGAAACATTTTGTTCATAAAAGACCGACGTCATTAAACCTACATGGTACATACCAACAAATTGTACATCTCTGTCGATCTGTTTTCCAATATGGCCATCATTGGGAATTTAGTTTTACAAACTATATTTAGTGAAGTATTGCAAATAAAATTGAGAATGGAAATGGCGAATGTGTAAAAGAGACATCAACCCGACCAAAGAGCAGAAAACAGCACAAGGCCACCAATGGTTCTTCAACACAGCGAGAAAATCCCGCACCCGGAGGCGGACTTAAGCTGGCCCCTAAACAAAAATGTGTACTAGTTCAGTAAAAATGGACGTCACACTTAACTCCGAAACATAATTATAATAGAACTGAAATTTAAAAAACATACAAGACTAACTAAGGCAAGAGGCTCCAACATACAAGAAGGGAAGTAACGGAACGAATATGAATTCTGAAAAGAGCTAGTTAAAACGTTAATCAAACGTCAAATCAAATAGCAGCAACGCCTGTCTAACGTCACAATAAACTCGTAGTAACAAGTTTTCTTGCTATCTGCACAAAAGGGCTGGCGACTTTCCGAACAATATGGTAAGTTTTTATTTATTTATCGGATATGTAATATCAGTTGGTCTCGAGAGAATAATTTTGAGACACTATCAAGATGGAACAAATTAAAAATTCGATTATTGCTTTTGAGTCGATTCTAAGTCTGTCGATGGACTGACTGCATGCTGCAATCAATGAGGATATAATAAACCGACCAATTACCAAAATTCTTAATTGGCATGTTTTTACTCTCAGTAGTGAAACCTTCGGAATTTACAAACTTGACAAACATGAATAATTATAATTTTTTAAGGACATTTTAAGCTCATGTGTTCCTTAGATATTTTCGATTTTTTTTTTTGTGTATTTCTCTTAAACGTTCAATGTTGATACATTTGACTTTATGTTGTTTATTTTCGAACATCATTGGCGAGTTCACTCATGGTCGTGATTAAACTCTTTTGAAAGCTAATTGTAGCATGTCCCTTTGGAAGATGGGAGGCATGAAGAACCCCATTTACATTTTTTTTTATTTTCCTTTGTGTTTTTTTGTGTATATTGAAGAGGTTAAATTGATTTTTGACTTACGAATTTGCAATTGCATTGAACTATAACCGATAATTACTCCTAACTAGACATTTCCACTTAATATACTTATCTGTTCAAGCAAGATTTGAATTTAATCTCATCAATGGAAAGTTAATGATGGAAACTGACTGCTATCGTTACTATTAATCAACAACCTTTTGCAATCGATACCCTCATCAACAAAGTATGTACATATCTAATCATGGTATTTTCTGTAGAGACTTTTATCTTTACTCATACGGCTATAGAATTCATTGATTTGATTTCAGAAGGAACAGGCAGTGCCAACCAAGGGAAAATCGGAAGAAGTTATACAATCAGATACAGAAAATGGTGGAAACTCTCATGCTGAAACTTTATTCCAGGTAATTTTAGATTTTTGTAAACTGCTATTGCTATACTTTGGGGAACTCTACAAAACTTTGCATACGATCCTCTTCTTTAGGATACAACTTACAATGAATGAAACTTCAATTGTCATTTATGTTACCTGTAAACTATTCATTTTCTGGCGCAAATGAAATATTGCATAACTTCAATTGTCATTTATGTTACCTGTAAACTATTCATTTTCTGGCGCAAATGAAATATTGCATTTTTTTTTAATTGACACAAATGCAATTCGACCGTGTTTTCGTTAAATTCTTTTTCAGTATTTATTTTAACTTTAAAGATTAAAAACAATTCCTTATACATCGTTTTTGATCTCGTGTAAGGAGGCAATAATTTCAACCAAAATTGGAGTAAAAAAAAGTATGAAAACTCTCGGGTTCAAATTGCTCTTTTACTATATTTAGCAACACACTGCTATGTCCATTTTAACTCTGAAAATAAATCAGTTAAAACCAAGCATGAAGGACTAAATGAGAGAACGAAATAGACAAACTTTCTCCTAATTTGATACCATTTAGTATTGGCGATGAGAGGTATTAAATTGTCACAGTATACTGATGATTTCATCCCCTTGTTTACAGTTCCATTGACGTATTCCCCACTTTTATTTTTACGTATACAGTCAAAATGTACAAATTGATATAAATTACAAACTAAAATATATAAAAATAAATTCCCAAACACAATTTTGAGATTAGCCTCTGTAAACTGGTGTTCTTAATATACATAAACTCATCATAGATACCAGGATTAAAATTGTGTAAGCAATACGTGCGTTACGCCTACAAAGGAATCATCAGTGACGCTCCTATCAAACAAATTAAACAAGACAAAGAAGTACGAAGAGCATTGAGGACCAAAAATTCCGAAAGGTTTTGCCAAATACATATAAGGTAATATATTCCTGGTGGTAAAATTAATGCACAATCCATCATAAAGTTCTTGTCTTTTTTTTCAATTTATCTTTCAATCCTTTCTTTTCAATATTTTTTGTTGTATTGTCAGTCTTAAACATTTTGGGAGGTGTGATGTGTGAAGTTTACAGTTGCTTACGCCACTGAATGTCGGGATTTCCCCCAAATTATTTATCATCTATATATATTTGACATTTTGTTGGGACAAGATTTATTTTGGGAAAGGCTAGTTGATACTGAATCATATGATCCATATACTAAATAGCTAACAAAGTTTCGGACAGTATTGCAGTATTTTTCAAACATTTACTTGTGATCGACGGTAAATCGTGAAGGGTTCTTAACAGTTCGATAATTAGAGCTTCGTTTGTTTCTAGCGTTGCAGATTGATAACCCCTTTGTTTAAAAGAGTTATCTGGTTACTGAAGCCGACTGCTGTATAGGTATTTGATTTCTGTACAGGTATTGTGTTCAAATTGATTTAGTGCACTGCAACAGCTGATGCCAGCTATGATCAACAATGCTTCCGTTAAAATCATTGTACATGGAATTTTAATTAGGAACCGACGTTTTGATTTTCCGCAATCTCAACAGAATAAATTACTCATTGAAAAACAAACGAACAGATATTTTTTTGGCCTGTTCTTTTGATACCAGCCTGGACCAAAGTAAAAAGTTCAGTCGATCTTTAAAGTTGAAAACAATATCTTTAAGGTCCGATACTATTGATATTATCTGGCTGTGCAATTATTGACCGTTAACTATTTGTGCTAATATTACGTCTAAAGAAAACAATAGACAAGACAATTTATGATGTCTGTTTCGTTCTTTCTGACCAAAGCATATATACATGTACGTTTACTATCTTAAGATGTAAAAATGGTGTTAGAGTGTCTTCAAGCATTGGACGAAACTGGACGCGAATGAATTTAGACTATCTTTGAAGCTTATAAAGTGAAATAGCCAAAGAAAACACCTCGAAAGTTTAACGGTCTGCACCATAACTTTGTTGTCACAATCCCGTCCGCCATTTACCGTTGAAATGACTTATCGCTGAAATGACTTAATTGTATCGCTGAGACATTGGATATTAACATTACTTGAGCAACACGACGGATGTGACCGGTGGCATAGAGATTACTTAATTATCTTTTTAGAGCACACCTGGGTTTTTTTAGTGGGGATTCTTGTTGCATTCTTTTTTTAATTCCATGGTTTTCTTTTTAACTTGTTTCTATCGGTTTCAATTTCTAGAAAACGATTGATTCCTTTATTTGTATTTCAAGTTACAATATTCTCCCTTGTCATAATCAAAGAGAATCACGATAACATAATCCTCTTTTTGGATATTTATCAATCTACTTTTATTAAATGCCTCAACAGCCAATATTGTCACACGACTTGTATATGAGTATCACGGCGACTACCACTTGTAGACCAGTAATTGCATATAATTTCAGTTTTCCGCCTGTTATGTGGTGTTCTTATATCTATTTGTATCGCGAGTCTTTAGTAATGTATCGTAGATCCTTATTTATCATGTTTATCTTTTTGTTGTTTATTCAACTTTTGTTTACGGTATTTTCTGTTCTTAATTTTTTATTTTTTGCACCCTTGTTTTCTTCTTATATTTTCTTATTGGTCGTTTATATATGATTAACTCTCTTCCTGAACCATTAAGAGTTTATACTAGTATGATACGGTACGGTTGTCCTTTCTTTGAGGCATCAAGAAGAACTTAATTAGGCAAATTAAGTGACGGAAAAAGATGACTTATCTATAATCATCCTAACAATACAGAACATAGCATCGTGGAAATTCAGAAAACCAAAATATATTTTCCATAACTAAGAAAATAAAACAGAATAAAATCCCTTTTAGAATGACTATATAATATATATATGTTGATATTCCGACTGTTAATTGTACATATTTGCTTTTGGTTACTTAAATCTTAGTTGAGTTGTAAGTAAGACAACAAAATAAGTAATCGAGATCTGAAATAAGTAGACCTCATAGACATGACATAGAAGTTTAATCTAAAGTTGGTACATATGAAGAGCTTAAAGTTTGTACATATCGAGAGCTTAAAGTCGGTACATATATATGTAGAGGTTAAAGTCGGTACATATGTAGAGCTTAAAGTCGGTACATATGTAGAGCTAAACGTTGGTTTGTAGAGCTTTATGTCCTCTACATTAAGTTGAATTCGGTCATTTAAAGCAGTCCATTCTGTAAGTTCTAGTTTGGATCAGCAGTAAGTCATGTTACTTATGTAGGTATTAAACATTTTCCGTATGTCAAAAACAAAATTACTGACCATTCAAGTTTTATACTCTCAACTTGACTACCCAACACAGGAACACGGACTTACATATGCGGTATAATAAACAATTTTAACAGCTGAAATATTTAAATGTGTACTCAGTTGTTAAATGCTAATTTTGTCTGTTTGTTAGTGAACTAGATATATGAATTGTAAACATAGAAAGAAACTTATCAATCAGATTTTCCAGTCACGCCGTTAATTTGTGTTCTATGATTTCATTGGCTCCTTATATAACTATTATTATTCCCTACATGGTTAGAAAAGAAACATAATATTGATTTTAAACAAACATTTTTGCAAATATGCAAACTTGACTTCCTAGTTATTTATGCACACGCAAGTATGGTGTAATTAAAGTGTAGACTCCATATAAAAATAAGGAGATGAGGTATCCAGTCTGTTTCATTAACACATTACAGCTAGGGTGTTTTGCTTATTGGCGTTGAAGTTAAAGATTTACTGAAGCATATTTTTCATTTGTATAGATTAAAAAGGTAAAAATATGGGGTAGATGGTGAAGAGCCACAAAAACAAATAACTATGCAAAAGAAAACAAAGAAACGAAATTGGAAGCGTTTAATAATGTTACCAAATACTTGGTATAGATAGAAATAAACAAAGATGTAGGACCAATTTTCCTTGTACTTGTTTCACACACAAAGCCAACATCTAAAAGTTGTCAAATCGTACTGGAATTTGGATATTAAAGAGTCTTTATCAGGTACTTAACACCGTATTTCCCAATTGAACATATTTACATAAAATCAAAATGCTATCCAGCGCTGTATGTTGTTGTTGGAGGATTTTTTGTTGTAAAATTTTGCATCGAAGGACGAAGCTTACCAAAATGAATTAATTTATATGCGAAAGCCAATATGTAGCCTTACTTCCAACATAATTTTGGTTTTGGTTAACTATGTCCTTCTCATAAGTTTTTTGATAAATACTCATATTTTCCTAAATCTGTCAAAACTGCTATCTGCCTTTATAATTTGGTGATCTGTTTGGAAATGAGCTATAATATTGTTAGAACCTCGAAGTACCAACATTAGGCTGTGATGCAATGCATTTACAATGAATTTAAGTAAAGATCGAAAGACGTTTTGAAAATGTCCCTAGTGTGATATAAATTCATGGTAAATTGGTCATACCACTTTTAAAATATTGTAGTTTCATAGCTGGCTAAAACATTCTTAAAGTGGTTTTTTTGCAATGGCTGATTACTGCAAAAAGGTAGATCAATAATATTTCTAGTTGATTAGCGTTTTGTATACATCATGAACATACCAAGCTAATCAAATCAATGTGACATTCTCACGACATATGGTCAATCGTTCTAGAGTTAATTATGTAAGTAATGAGTTTATAGCAATATCCCGTACACACAAACTAATATATGTCACATCATAAAACTTATTAGTTATTGCATTTCAAAGACTTAAGATACAACTATCCTTTATAAGTGAGATATTTTCATGACCAAATATATATAGAGGGTTTATCTGGATTTCTTTTAACAGAAGACAGAAGGAGTACCTATAGGAAGTTTAAAACGGTAAAATTTCAATATTGTCATAAAAAACGACACCAACATTTTCTGAATGATCTTTTCCTGTTGATTACGTTTCCGTTTTTAAGATAACTGTAATGTGGAGAAAAACGACATACAGTACATGCGTACGACGTCATATTTGTATAATGTTACTAATAGGCTATTATTTTAGGTCCTTAATGGCCATGTATCCCGTAACGTTTCTACTTATTTGTACATTCCTGGCTTTCAAATGTTTCGGTTTGAGCGTTCCTGGTGAAGGTAAATCCAGAAAAAACGCTTGAACGCAATTCATTTATAAACAGTTATCTTCATTTAATTTACAGCTGAGTTCGTTAGGCGAATTACTCAGAGACAGCATCGAAGCTGGAGAATTAGTGACGAAAAGGAACTGGTGGAGTAAAAAGTCTAAATCTCCACCACCAGATCCCAGAGAATTTGGCATAGACGATAACATAGGATCATTTATGTCATGGAACAAAGGTAGGATAACAACAAAGTTTGATTTCTCTAATAGATATTTTATAAAAGACTTTAGTCTAAACCTTCAGAAGATCCAGGAGAATTTGGTATAGACAATAACGTAGGACCATTTATTTCATCAACAATGGTAGGATAACAAAAACTTTGATATCTCTTATAGATATTTAAACTTCTGAATTATATAATTGCTTCAGCTTGACTTGGAAGTCAAAGCTGTCGCATACAGCGACATCTATTACTATTAGACCTGTTAAAAATATAAAATGATTTGCATTATATATGTTACATGCATTTTCTAAATTTAAACATTTTGTAAAATGACTAAATTTTCAGGCAATTTATAAAATGCCTAAACTTGACAGGCATTATATATATAAAATGACTTGAAATACCTAGTCATTTTGTAAAATGACTGAAATTTTGAAACAAAATGCAACAAGTTGCTGTTCACTTTCATGTAATTTGCAAAAAAAAAGGATAATTATCATTGAGATGCATATGACCAAAAACACAATATCTTGCACAGAAAGAAAACTAATAGTTCCGTAAAATTGAGTTTATTCTTCAAAAACCAGCTGGGAAAGTTTGTGTTCTTTTAAGTGAAACTACGTTAAGTATGTACTCACTCTGTATTTCAGTTAGTACTTTTATAAACTTCTTGTCACGATGACAGAAGGACACATTGATCTTACAAAAGAACAAAGTTTACGAACGAATTTTTAGAAAATCCTAGATTCAAATAGAAGTGTGTAATATTAAGCAGAGAAACAAAGCATCTTTTTATATTGACTGATTGTTGTTTGTTGCACTCAGTAGCACATATTTCATGCATATTTTAAGACGAAAACAAATTGATAATAAATCAAAGAGGTAAATTCTACAATGAATTGACCCAGATAAAAGACAGGAATTTTGACAGCCGCTTGAAATGAAGGTATTTTGAATAGGGATAGAAAAGTTGCCTAGAACTACAAGGCCGTTTTTGGTTGTGATGCAGAGATATGAGTATCTTCATCTTCACTGCCTCAATGGAGTTGGTGTATACAATCTAATGAATTAATGCGACCGTAGTTAACCGTTGTTAAAATCTCGAAAATCGATTAAGAAGAGACAAATAACGGTGCATTGACTGGGTAAGCGTCTTCTGCTATGGATGCCGCACCGGACATGCGTATATCTGCTTCAGTCTGTTAAATGCTCAAAAACTAATCATGCTAATGTGACTTTGAATCTTTTGGGACCACATGAAAAAGAAGATACTCATGTGTGTGCTTTTTGCGAAACGCAATGCTGTGTTTTATCAGAAAAAGTATTGACAAAGCTGTAAGCTGAATGTGTGATGATCATGGTTTCGCCAGATGTGGTTGTAGTACTTAGACCAGATTTTACGCCAAACGATGAATTTAAAAAAAACAAAAACAACAAGGACAAATGTGTAACAGACCCTGCAATCCAAACGATATATGAAATAACAAATAATTGTCGAGTTCGGTGCTTGAGGGAATTTTAAATAATTCAGTAGAATTTTTTTTAATTACTGAAACTCTTAAAACGCATGCTTTACAATTCAGTAATGATTAGAGATAAAACTGTTCTGTTGTTCGATAATTGTCTCTGTGAATATTTCATTCTATAAAATAATTTCAGGCGTTTTGTAAAATACCTGAAAAAAATCAGTCATTGGATGAGATGCATGAATCTTACAGGCTTTTAAGAAAATGTCTAAAGATTTTATGAAATTTACCAAATTCCTAAATATAGAAAATGCCTGTAACATATACATTTATTGAAGAATATATACTTGGCAATTAAGCAATTGTAGTTTATATATAACTCTTTGAGGAGGGAAATGAAGTTATTTATTATAGGACTTTTTTCCTTTTTTCCACTCGCATTTTTACAGGAAATAGTTATGGAAAGACAAACAAAGCGAGAAAAATGAAGGCACAAACGATAAAGAAAGATCAAAAAGGTAGTTGTTCTATGCAATAGTGTTCTTGTGATCGTCAGTTTGTATCAGAAAACGTATTGAATAGTTTTACATGTGACGCTGAAATCTCAAGACATAATTCCGTTTCATATAAATGTCTAACAAGGGACCCTATATGATAGCAACTAAAGTCAGTACACTCTTTTTATATAGTTTACAAAGCGTTGCTAATGTCGGGATTTAACTCAACACCTTTGAACGCAACACACGTAGCAGACACTTAGAGGACGCCAAAATTGACACGAGACAGTTTTGGCAATTCTTTATAAATATCTATTGAATTAATTTCCCCTTATTCAGTTATGTATATTTTGATTTTCAAAATTTTAGTATTCCTGATGAAACAAATTATGTATGTATGTCTTGATTTAAAGTGATTAACTACCACAGAATAAACAGTTGTTTAATACAAGCTTGAAAGAAAGAAAAACTGCATGATTGGAGGTAACACAGAGTTATCTCGCCGAAACTCTAGGTTTTGATTTCATATTCATTCAAATCGAGATAAATGCTATTACATTTGCCGTGTATTTGTTTTTTTTACAGACGACTTCCAGGACGATCAAGAAATGAACGAAAGAAATAGGTTAAATTCAAAATTGCCACATATTCTACAAAAGCAAAAAAGGTTAGAAGAATTTGACAAAGCCGAAAAAGTGAGAATAGCTAAGCAAGATAAGGTAAGATGTCCCATTCAAACTTCTAGAGAAACATAACTTTTTATCTTAACACTGAAGTAATTAAATAGATATAAGAATATGTGGTATGAGTGCAAATGAGACAACTCTCCATCCAAGTCACAATTTGTAAAAGTAAACCATTATAGTTCAAAGTACGGCCTTCAACACGGAGCCTTGGCTCACACCGAACAGCAAGCTATAAAGGGCCCCAAAAATGACTAGTGTAAAACAATTCAAACAGGAAAACCAACGGTCTAATCTATATAAAAAACGAGAAACGAGAAACACTTATTAACCAAATCAACAAACGACAACCACTGAACATCAGGTTCCTGACTTAGGACATGTGCAAACAAATGCAGCGGGTTTAAACGATTTAATAGGCGTCAACCTTCACCCTACCTGACTGAAACAATAGTGTAAAAGCCAATATAATTTCTCATGTAAAATGAACTTTGTTTTAGCTCGTATTCTTCTATGGTCAGATATATCCCAAATCTATGCATTCATTACAACTATATACTTTTAAATGCACGTAATGCCTTAGGTAAAACCGCAGTGGGTAAAACATGGCAGGTAAAAGATACATACACAAATTTTTGTTAGAAATACACCGTTTCAGGATTTTAAGTAATCTGGGTAGTACATTAAAAGCAATCACACCAAAAACAGGTAAGAAGGTACTCGAAAACTATAGTCAAAGAGCCACTGAATACATCATGAACGAAAAAAAAAAATATCGAAATACAAACAACAGTGTACAAAACATAACATAGAAATTTAAAGACTAATAAAAAACCACTAAAATACCGAGATGTACTAAGCTGTTTCAAAGCGGCAAGCAGATTCCGTTCCAATAGTTGCAATCTTCTCACGACAAGTACAACTTTAGGAAATGAGGACAAGCTTTTGGCTACGAAAAACTGTATAAATCCAAATTTCTAACTAGTTAAAAATGTCATTAACTAAAGATATCCATCCACGGCGTAATATTATTATTTTCGTTTTACTGTACGGACAATGAAATTACCATTAATACCTTTGATTCTAAGCTCAATGAAAGAAGCTGGATCTAGGGCAGAATTCAGAAATATATACAAATATCTCTTTTTATTCATACAAATACAATGATAAATCAAATGAATTTGTTCCAACTTAGTCTCCATAAAATAATTAAGCGCATGCAATTACTAAAATTTGGAACTGATATAGATAGTTTTGTAAAGGTAATAGTGCATTCGACTCCAATCTTAATTGTGTAGGATTGTCAGTTTTCCTACCAACGGTCGGTGGTTCTCTCCGGGCACTCCGGCTTCCTAAAACCAATCAAAGTGCTTGTAAGCACTGAAGGGTAAAGATTGCTTTAATTTATCAGTGGGAAGCAAAATTAAATACCGTATTGTATAAGGCATTGGTTTATAGTTGATTTAACTACAATTCTAGACAAAGGAAGATAACTCCAATTTTTAAAGATGACTTTAACAACGACATCATTGATATTTTTAGAACAGATATTAGATTCCTGCACCTTGCAAAAGTTATGTAATTTTCTTGACAAGTATAACATCATTTTGTGACTTGAATATCTGAGCATATATTACATTGATAAATTTCTGGAAATGTTCATGGATAGGATTTATAGAATGTTATGATCAATGCACTATATTTTGTGTATCTCAAAGGTAGTGATAAGCCTTGGAAGATTTAGATATCAAGTCGGTACCATAGGGTTTTGATTGCATTTCATGCAATCTTTACCCAATAAAAACTGACCGCCACGAAATAACCAACAGTGCTGAAAGTAGTGTAAACCACCAGTCAATTAATCAGTGTAATGGTAAGAGAGAGTGCCATTTGAATAACTGTTAACTAAGTTGATTTTAATTCTACGATTTTTATTTTTACAAATTCTATAGTTTGTAAAATTATGTGTTATACCGTGAATTAATATTATGCTGTTATGTTGTGTTTTAGGCACTTGATGAAATTGACACTTTATTAGCAAAGTTAGAAAAAGAAGAACAAAAGAATGTAAAGAAATCATATATTACAAAGCAAAACAAGCCAAACACAAAGGATGATATGTTGAAATGGGACGATGACCAAAACCGTACAAACCTTCAGAAACCAATCACATATCATGATTCTTTAACGGACAGTTTAGATAAACTTCTTGAAGATATAGAAGAGCAAATAGATGACAGATTATAAGAATAGTTTTTTTTTCAAATTGTTAAATAAAATTTTGTTACTTACAAGTTATAATTTTTATATGATTATAAAATTTCCCTTTTCACTGTCATATTTCCATCTTAAGTTTACAATTTCGATTTTATGCCCCCGCCGTAGCCGACGGATGCATTAAGTGTTTCCCTAGACCGTCGATCCTTCAGTCTTTCTGCCCTCCCGTCTTTCCGTTCGTCCGTCCGTCCCATTTTCTTTTGTTTGAAACTTGAGCAGGGGCATTGTGTCCTCGTACACATTCTTCTTTTATTTTTTGTGTGTCTTTGATCTGTGTAGTCTCGTCTATGGCCTCTTTTCAGTATTACTATTATATCATTTTTAACTCTTCAAACAATTAAGGACAATTATGGACAAAGACAAAGACAAGTAATAAAGATCAAACTTGATTTAAGATTTTTGGCTTTACAAACACATGAAAGACACATAGAACAAAAAGTTTTATCATTTTCAACCAAATCAGCATAGAAAAAACACAAACACACCACCAACTAAAATAGTTAATTGATTGACAGCTTTCTTGATGTAAACACGAAATTTGATGGGCTAATTAAACTCTTTGGCATGCACTGAAGTCTCCATCAACTGTAAAATCTCCGATCTCTAGATCATTTGTCAAAAATCAAAAGAAGCCAAGTGAGGCTACAAACAAAAGACCTCTTACTTGGGTGGAAAACACGATTTAGGAATACGAGTCAAACTGGTTTGATGCTTCTTGTAAGCTTATTAAGATAGCAGAGGTTATTGGTTGAATACTGCTGCTGAATGAATTAAGAATTAAGGAAAACACTCCATGCAGATAATTACGTCATTGATCAGCTGCATGTGAGGGGCCATTGTTTTCCTTAAGACTATGAGTAAGTCTTTTCCATTTTTTGTTGTCGTATTTTTTCTGTTTAAATGTTAAATTGTTAATCTTGAACTGTTGTAAAAAGTTGGAAAACACATCTTAATTTCACAAACAAAGGTCAATATCCAACATTTATTTTCGAACTAAACAAACAACAAAGTGAATAGTTTTGGAGAATTGCCAGGACCAAATACATATCATACTACGAACATTTGAGATTACTTCACCATGAACAACATGTACTAGTCTAATATCTATTGTTCTCTTCCATGTCGTTTAGTAGTCCTGGATGATTACGACGACATTTTACATGGTAAACCCTTGTCATTATGAATCCAATTATAGCTCCGACAATCAACATTGCTAGCGCAATTCCAGCTACTCCCCCTAAAATATATTAAAAAACAAATTAAAAAAGTCAACAAAACTCTGATAAGTAAAGCATGTATAAGTTTAATGGAAATAGTTTTACAAATTCGCTCGTATGCGAATAGACATAGATTTGTTATAAAATAATACTAGTATCCTCAGCTACACCAACGTGTATTTCAGTATTTTAAACACATCTTTACATTTTTTCTTTTTTTTTAAATCAAAACATGTTCTATTTATTTTTACTTGAAATCGTAAACTGTTTATAAGTTTTAATCAGATTTCAAAAAAAAGCTTTTTCAGTTTCAATTTGCAGTTTTTGATCATGTAGTTGGTTACAATCTGTATAATGCGGCATAATATTGCTGAGTTTTGCTTTCCTTGTTGGCATGCGCGGTCTCACTCCCTTTGGAGTTCATGCTATTCCTTCAGATTATTTTTGGTTGGGGTAGTCAAATTGGATTTATGAGTTTTGAACATGGGTTAACCACTGTTGCCACTTATTTGATACAAGTAAAAAAATAAAAACTGTTTGGTATGCTGAATGATTTTCAATGTCCATTGCAAGATACTGAGTAACAAAAATAAACTCATCACAGATACCAGAATTTAAACTTTGTACGCCAGACGTGCGTTTTGTCTACAAAAAACTCACCATTGACGCTCGAATCAAAATAATTAAAAACGCCAAATAAAGTACGAAGTTGAAGAGCATCGAGGACCCAAAATGCCGAAAGGTTTTGCCAAATACAGCTGAGGTAATCTATTCCTGGGGTAGAATGAGTTGAAATATTCCCTTCCTGGGCACTCGGTCATAAAACTTAACTCAGTACTCGAAACACACAATTTGAGCTAGAAACATCAAATCCAGTTATTTGATTGGTTGTATTCTGAGTTTGAGAACATTATCGTACTCGAAATTTGCATGACCGCAGGGTCAGCGAGTAAATGAAATTTTACCTGTACCTTTAAATTCATGTTACAAGCAATTTCTAGTGAAGCATTCATACCTTTACTAACTCCCGGGGTGCTCTTCTTTGCGTTGTCTGCTGCAAGTTGCATCTGTCTTAATAAAACAGAACAGTTCTGACTACTTTTGGTTGGTTGTTTGAATGTAATTGTAGATTGTTTCATGGGCTTTTGTGTTATCTTCTTAGAAGGCTTGACTGTTCTCTGTTGTACAGGTGGGCAAGTTGATGGCGGTAGAGATGTTTGTGTCTGAGCAGTTGGACATGTAATTTTCGGACAAATACATGGTTTAGGGATTACAGCTGTGGAAAAGTAAACTACAATTGCATTTGTTTTGTTTTAAGAGAAAAACAGTAATACTCTTAACATTTTTCTTAACAGATTATCGTCTTTAAAAATATTATTAAACATCGAGTGAATATTAACTTTAGAATGCAAATTAATCATTAATTTGCGCTTAAGAAAAAAAAGATGTTTGCTTCTTATCTTTATTATTACAACAAATTAGACTCAATCAAATAATAAATTTTCCCTTTAAATACAATTAAGCTCCTTCATCTTTTCAATAGTTTGATATTATTGTTTCTTACTTACTATGCCTCGATATCCTTGAGTCAGTAGTTTTTGTGATCAATGTAGATGGAAAAGTACGAGGAGTAGTAAGGATTGAAGTTCTTTTAGTCGTTAATGAAGGCGGTATTGGTGGGGTACGGCGTTTTGTCGTGTGAGGTATTGTGGGATGTGGAAGTGTTGGGACAATGTAGGGTAGGGTAGGAGTAGTTGGTGCTGTTGTAGTTGTTAACTCTGCTTGATAGCTTAGCTGTACAATGTTCACTCCATAAAATGTTACAAGCTGTATTGAAGAAAATTAAAAAAAAACAGTTTCATTATTTCCTCTTGACAATAAGTATTTCATAAGTATATTAATGGATAATTAAAAAATATATAAACTTCATTACAAAAAGTAAGTTAGGTCTATTAACTTATGTTTGACTTTTTGCAATTTCGTAAATTCCTATTACAGATAATAAACAATAAATCTAAGAGGGTATTGATGACACAGTTTGAAGAAAGTCTGCGTACCAAAATGAAACAGACAAAATAAAAAAAATATCTAAATGCATCTTTTTAAGCTTTAAACATCACAGAGCTGATATCTTAACATTTCATGAATCTAACCTCGCCTGTACTGGTCGATACATTTTGTGACCACTTTCCTTCTATTTGTCCTCTTAAAAAATCAAATGCTGCCAAAAGTGGAACCTGTCTTTTAACTGGAGGGAAAAGTCTAGGATTGGTAATCGATGCTTTGTCAAGAAGTGTTGCACTTAAGTAAAACTCATTTCCGCCGTAATATTCCATCTGAAACAAAACAATGTTATTTAATGTAGATATGCAAAAACAATTATAAATGATCGATTTTTCTAGAACTTTCCGAAACAGAGTAAAATACACAAACTTTCAAAAATTAAATGAAAATCCCAAACTATCCAGCTATGCGTGCATAAAACAGCAAGGATACATGCTTTCTAATAGTAAATATTACCGGTAGTACACCGATGTCCGTTCAAATATCAAAATCCATATACGAAGGCGGAAGATATCAGGGGATCATTCAAAACTCATATGTCGAAGAGAAACTGCATTACAACGCCATGGCAAAACAAAAAAACGAAAGACGACGAGAAGACAAACAAGTCTAAAAAGCACTACATAAAGAACTAAAGACAGAAAAACACGAACCCAATTAAAATACCGGAGATGATCTCAGGCGCTCCCAAAAGGGTAGGCCGATCCTAGGCTACTTGTGGCACCCGTCATGTCGTTCATTGTAAGTATAAATAACTCTCAATCGGTGCTGTCACAAACTGAGTTATTACTAAAAACACTTAAACAAACATGTGCGTAAAATCTGTCAGAATCACTTGAGCACCAACAGGAGTGAGACCATGGTAAGCACTTTGCAGACAGTGGGCAAATAAAAACGAACGTTTCACGGGAGTTTCTACCAAACATAAATTAACCGTTTGTTCATTACAACGCATTGAACATATACGTATAAAATCCGACTTTACTCATGGAAACCTCATGCAATTTATAACGTGTTGTTTTCACATTTTACATACGTTTATAACGGACATTTCGACGTATGAGTTTAGAATGTTCCCTTGGTATCTTCCGCCTCCATTACAGCTCTAAATAGACTATCCGGCTTAATTCGATCGAACGGTACATTTAAGGAACGGCTCTTTTTTATCGAATGATCATAATCTTGAGGGAGAAAAACCCCAAAACGGTCTTTAGTAAAGTACACAGCTACCACTTACAAGTATATTGGTCATTCGTGTAGATTCTATCTGTGCTAGTTCTGTAAGCTTGGTATGTAGAATGTCTTGAAGGTACAGCTGACTTATCTGTGAAATAAGTTTACCTCCCGATACTGTAAAAATGTATTGTATTGTTTTTTTTTATTTATTTATTTCAGTACTTTATCAAAAAAAAAACCCCAAAAAAAAACCACCGTATAATATTTAAATTAAGAGAAGCAACTGAAGCTAACGGTGTGGTCTTCATTTATGAGTATAAACATGAAATATTCAACACTTGATAAATCGAGTGCAAAAGATAATTAAACATTTTATAGAATTGTTTGGTTATCGAGCAAAAGTAACCAGTATAGAGACCAATCTTCTTTCACAGTTACTATCTATTGCCCATTACATATGTGTATGGGATTTTCTTGCAATGGAAGGCAATTGATAGAATAACTGTGATGTCAATAATAAGACATATTAAAATGCGGAAGCAGATTACGTTTAATAATCATTTTGTATTTATCCATTCACGAATCATTTTTACTTAATGATTAAATGATTAAAAATCATATGCAAGATACGAGGAACTTTCTGATGCGTTGAATTAACATGAAGAGACTTTTTGATAGGTTATATAGTCTGCTGTAGAATACTTACCACTGAAACGGGCGATGACATGAGCTTTTTTTGCTGGCTCGAAACAGTTATATAAATTAAATGAAGATAGAGGTGGTGCTATAGGGTCCATTCTATGTATCTGATATGACATGGGATATTGAGCTCCCTAAAATGTATAACATTACGTCAGTCTATTAAATTGCAGCAACTTCGTTTTAATTCAAACATCATACTTACTTATGACCTCTACAAAGTACGATGTTTATCATTCATCTTCACATAAAATAATAAGTTAAGGGATATCCCAGAAAACAATGAGCCTCCTCATGGGGTATTTGATTATGTGATTACTTGGCCGTTTTTATAGTGATTATTTGATTACCAGACCAAATATTTCATGATTATTTGATTATTTGATAATGTAGGACTGTATTTTTGATTATTTGATTATCTTGTTTAAAAAAAATAATTAATGATTATGTGATTACTTGGACACCCCCATGAGGGGCCTCGTTAATGAAATTGTATACTTTTTGATACATTTTGTTTTGTTTTGCAAACTTAAGACGTTATAAATATAAATCCATTTATACGTTATGATGAGCTCTTTGTTAATTCTTTTATTTTATTATCAATTCAATCTATAACTAAAGATTAAAGTAGTGGTTCTTGTCAAACATATAGATTTAACTTTACAACCTAATATGTCATTATACCCCGAAAATGTCCATCTTGATAAATGATCCTGTCTGCAAAATCAGTCCGACAGCTTCCCTCCAACCTTGCTGTTATAAAACATAAGAAAATTGCATTATGAGACATTGTATTATTATCCATAAAAGGAAGATTGCCGATTGGAAAATTTATTCATATTGTGTTTTATGGACCCATGATCTGGGTTGTACATCAGTATTCATATAGAAAAGTTATGATATCTCAGTTTCAGACTCATAAGTGATTTTTAGGTATATCAGTTCGTCTTAATAAATTTTTCTACTTAAACAAGGTAATGAAAAATTGGCAATCACACAAAGTTGTTAAATAATAAAAAATGCTTTGATAATAAATTTGATCGTTCTTTCTTATGTTAATGTAAAGACTTACAGCAGCAAAATACCATTCTGCAGTAAAGTTTCTGGACACGGAATCATCGAAGTATGTCCCTACCCATACGTCACACAAAATACCTCGTGTCCATCTCTACAAAATTAAATTCTTTTGTATCAGCGTTACTCAATATAGATTTCTACATGGATACACAGAATCAGAATATTTTCTGGACAATATTTAATAATGTTCAGCCATTCATATTTCAATTATTTGTAATATCAAAATTTCAAACGAAAGGAAAATTGTGTTTATTTATAAAACATGGTTGTTTATGTTGATTACATTCGTCTAGTTATTTGTTATAATTAAATAAAAGTCTGGACAAAGATCAATGTGGATCCTAATTGGTTTATTGGTGTTGGTATGTTTGACAGGGTTTTCGCCACTGAGTTTATGCATTGGTTGTGCCCCACCAGATGTTTAGTGATCTATATCTATGATTCCCTCATAAAGCCCTATATTAAACTGTGTTCCACAGTGACAACCATCTTGTAACTAAATATATGACTATCAACTCTTCAGTACTTACTCTTCCAACGTATTGTATATACGCATTGGCTAGATGGAAGTATTCCGTTACAGACATTATATCAATGTTATAACTGTTTGCACTCTGAGCTTTAACAAAGTTATCTCCGACCACAACAAGCCCTGTCTCACAATTACCTATATATTTATCTATCTTATATCGGATTCCTGAAATAAAAAGAAGCCATTATCCTCTGGTTGTCAACACTTAACGAAATTATCTAATATATGAAATCAAATGCTCAGTTTTTGTTAAATGTCTGCGCTATTCAAAGCCTTCGGTAGTGGTAATGCTCCACTGTAAATAGAGGAACATACACGAAACTGAACTGAGTCGGATGGTAAGAAAGATCCGAGATACTCTGTTTGTTTGTTTTCGTTTTTTCAGTTTGTGCGTTTATGGAATAAAACGTGCAATGTTTGATGTCCTGCACTTAAAATCACCGTCAGTTGAAAATAACATATTGAGTCATATCATGAGGTGAAGGATCCGAACAAAAGAACCAGCGACTCTTTTCACAAAAAATCTTACGATTAAAAACGATTAAAATTAATCGTAAGTTAAACTGAAATGTGTATGACTTACGAGTATTTTTACTCTCAAGTTTTTTTGTGAAAAGAGCCGCAGTTTTTAAAAGAACTGTTACACATTGTAAGGAAAATTTGAATCAAAAGTGGATTTAAAACTGTGCATTTCCTCATGAGTTTTCGAAGCACAACGATTGACAGTCTTCCGGACGAAATCTAATATCTACATTTGTCACACTATCTGACGAACACACTTTGAACCACCATTACATCAACCGACAAACACACTCAGCTACCACCATCAACTGACGAAAATAACTTTCTACTACCGTCACTCCCGGTTTTTGTTAAGGTTAGTGTTGCTCAATCTTAAATTTTTTGAGTAGTGTTTAAAATAGAAGACGGTTTGTCTTTTAGTTGTTTTTTTTGTCATACTTTCTGACGAACACACTTTGAACCACCATTATATCAACTGACGAACACACTTATCTACCACCATCACATCAATTGACGAAAACAACTTTCTACCATAGTCACTCCCGGTTTTTGTTTAAGTTAGTGTTTCTCAATCTTAAATTTTCTGAGTATTGTTTTAGATAGACGGCGTTTTGTCTTTTAGTCGTTTTTTGTCATACTTTCTGACGAACACACTTATCTACCACCATCACATCAGCTGACGAACACACTTATCTACCACCATCAAATCAGCGGACGAAAACAACTTTCTACCATAGTCACTCCCGGTGTTTGGTAAGGTTCGTGTTGCTCAATCTTTAATTTTCTAAGTAGTGTTTTAAATAGACTGCGGTTTATCTTTTATTAATTTTTTGTCATAGTATTTTCTGTTTTTCTTCGACTTTTGATTTGTGATTGTCCCCTTGGTTTCTCATCCCTTTTTAACAACGACCGACGAAAAACAAATATATACCAACGTCACATCAACTGACGAAAATATACCTGTTTTAAAGTCTAATATGGTCATATATGGATCCGAATCACTTCCATCAGAGTTCTTTGTGTCATATCTTATTATCTTTTGATCAGCATGAAACCATATCTGCAATTGACTATGAACAATTAGAACAAGAAAAATCTATATATTTCATATTTTCATTTGTTTAAAGACAAGTCATTTTGAATATGTAAAATATGATACCTTGTGTATAAGTTTTTACCCTAAACAAGTTATTTTCATTTAGAATCGCTTTGGTCCAAAAGAATGTTACTCCTAACTATCATAAATTGGAAAAGAGTAGTTTAGTGATGTATGTTTCTACAATTTTGTAAGAAGAAAAAAATATAAAGATTATGGTAAACTTTAATCAGAAAATAACTCAGGATAATTGTTTTCTAATGTAACATATTATGGTAATAAATTGTTATGTAAAAAGGACTTTTCTGTGTTTGTTAGTGTAGGGTGTTTTTGGTTATACTGTCGACTGTTTTCATATGATTAAAATTTATGAATGCCCCCTTCATATAACCACCTTTTTTTTACTTTTGGTGACCAGAATTCTGACGATGTAATATAAATGTCTGTTCGTTTTGTTCACACATTGTTGTCAATATAATGGAATTTTATGCAACTGTCATACAAGTGAGAGGTTTAGTTAGCTATAAAACCAGGTTTAATCCAATATTTTCTACATAAGAAAATGCCTGTACCAAGTCAGGAATATGACGGTTGTTTTCCATTCGTTTGATGTGTTTGAGCTATTGATTTTGCCATTTGATAAGGGACTTTTCGTTTTGACTTTTCCTTGGAGTTCGGTATTTTTGTTATTTTACTTCTTATTATGTCAATTTCAGTGTATACGACACATATTTTCTGGAGTTATCTTCATCAAGTATTGACTGGACCATATGAGATGTCAAGTAACACATATTGGAACATCAAAACCAAAGGGACATAGACAGACAAACCGATACATATTTAGAAAAACTTTGCCCGAGGGAGATGCAGGCTTAGTTTAAGTACATCAACTGAAATTATTGAATCAAGATGTATTTTAGATTGTGTAAGTACCACCGCAAAGTATCACAGCAATATGTACCGGGTGGATGGTACCGTTAGGGACTCATATACAACTAGCAGCGGAACCAATATAGAGTAAGTAATAGTAACGATCGATTTATGTGAAAAATTGTTTGAAAAATACCGAACTCCAAGGTAAATTAAAAGTCCATAAAACCTTACAAAATGAAACGTTAGACTATACCAACCAACAGAACGAATGGAAAAACAACTGTCATATTCCTAACTTGGTACAGGCATTTTCCGAATAAGATATTGGGTTAAATATGGTTTTATAGCTAGAAAATGGAGAAAACAGAGTGTAAAAACAAATGTCTTTACTGAGTTGATTCGACTGAAAAGTATTATATAGACGAAACTCGCGTCTGGTATCTCTTCGATGAGTTTTTTTTTTTTTTTTTTTTTTGGAAACAGATTTTACTTAAATACCATATCTAGTACGTCAAGACTAATTAAAGGAACTCACCTCCTGAAACATTATTGTTGACTGCTCTCTGTTTACTATTTCAATAATTCCATAGAAACTCGAAGGCAACGAAATTATCGGTTTTCCTGGATACTTCCCAGGACAGAATATACCTGCAGGTGGCTAAAATAAATTTATTATGATGGAATCTTCAACTGTTTACTAGAAATTAATCACCAATTAAGGTATACAACCTAACTTCTGCAGATGTATGAATTTACGCGTCTGCATGCAGCAACGTGTTCACAAGTGCATATATATATATTAAGACGACATACCAAACAATGTCTCTCTAATACCAGACTTTTCTTCAAGGCAAATACCAATTACATTTATCCAGCATGACTTACTCTTAGTCAATCCATCGTAAAATATGTTTTCCAAAATTAAAACCAAGAATAGAATTGAAGAACTTCATAAGTATAAATAGTTTTACCACATCTGGCAACTATTGAAGGTTAAAATTTGGTAAAAAATAAGTACTAACAAAAATACCGGACACAAGGTTGAATTCAAAAAGGGGGAAGTCCATTAACTCAACGTAACGATGGAAAACAACCGTCTCAATGGTTATAAAACCTTTAGAGACAACAGTAGTTTATCGTTGTTCTTGGTTTGAAGATTACTATGATAAATAATAACATCATATTGCTAAGTCTCCTTTCCATGATGGTTTTCTTCTTTCTATGTGACGAACATTTCTGGTTCAATATGTGAGTGTTTGTAGTGAAGTATCACATTACATTTTTCCTTTTGAATTGTTTGACTGTTTGCCACAAGAGAAAGAGATAATAGAAAGTAAAAAAAAAAAAAAAAAAAAAAACTGAGATAATCGAGCGAGACCGGTTGCATCGACATGGTAGGCGTTACCTGTAATGCATTCATCACCCTTAAAATCGGAAAGTGATGACTGAGGGAGAATATGATAAATATTTGAGATAAAAAGATATATGTGTTGCTATATATGCTGCAGCTTTATCAAACATTCCAAATATGATTCGGTCATCTGAACAACTTTTACAAATCATAAGACATTATATATATCACACTTCTCCAAATTTTATCATGATATAACGAATTATTAGGAAAAAAATAATTCATCTTGCTGAACTTTAAATAAAAAATTTGAATGGTTGGAAATGACTAATTCCGCAGTTCTTCATTGCATTTTAATTTTATTTGTCGCATAAATACCATCTGAGGAGACAACAGTTTTAAAAGACGTTACGTACGTTATTGGGTCAATACCATGAAATCAACCAGTCCACATTGATAAACAGCTCTTCTTTAAAATTAAAACAGTTAAGCTATATAAAATTTATATCCATAGACTAGGCAGGCATTACTGTTTCCAAAAAATCAACAAATTGAATTATGATATTTTACAATAGTCTAAAATAAGGACAAAAGTCTTGGCAAAATGTCAAAAATATGCGTGTCAGACGTAACAGACTATAACCACAATAAATTTTATAGGGGTGTTTGTGCTCTTTAAAACAGTGTAAAATCTGCAAAAATTCGCATGAATGATATTTGTCATATATAAAGTATGACGTAATTACTGAATTTGCATGAATGCAAAGGCAAAAGCTATTTTTTTGCAAAAATAAATAGTCTTTGTCGTGGTCAGTCTTCGGAAAATGGTAAGATATAAAAAATTATAGTTCTTAAAATATAAGATTATGTCAAATTTCGTCTTCATAAATCATGCTCACAAAAGTACGCCACCTTTTACATGTAAACTGTCAGTTGCGACGTCATTTATTAAAAATTTCGATTTGTTGCATATAAAATAGTGCTTTTCCGTAATTGTACTTTAACCCTTCAAAACAGATACATACTTTTTGATAATTTGCGTAGTCAAAACGACTTCGTTTATAAACAAATCCAATGTCTTGCAAGTTTGTCCAATGAACGATTTCTTACGTTTTCAACGTTGTCGATTCGGGACGCTATTTATGTCTTTTACAATTAAATCAAAAGTTTTGTGTTTTAGTGTTTAACGCAACTTTTATCGCCCTTGGTTGTATCATATCGGACATTTTTCTATGGTAGAGGAAGTCGGAGAACCCTTAATTGTAATATAAATTGTAAACCCGTAGAACAGACCCGAAAAATACATCAAATAATATCCTAAATGTTTGCTACAGATCTTCTTGTCCGATATTTGTCGTGTTACCATTGTGATAACTGATTTAAAGGAGCAATATACGACTGCGAGAAAACGCATTTTATAGGAAATTTAAAAAAGTTAAAAATGATTCAAAATGTCAGGGACTTTGAATTCCGAAAGAAAAATGATGACCTTTGCGATACAAATTATAATATATTCGAAGACATTGTTGAAAAGGACATGATAATCGAGGTTTTGGCAGACGATATAGGTTATGAGTAGTAATAGTATCAATAAGACCACAAACTATAACAGAAATATTTCCGATGACTGGGGTTGTTCATTTAGCCGAGGTTCTAAAGTTGTGAAAAGGCTGTATTACGAGAGGATAACAAATTAGCCATTCATTTTCAAATTTGTGAGGCGTAAAAATGCGATTTGTTATTTTTCTGCAATACTACTCATATGAATAGAAATTGAAAGTAAAAATAAAACTGTTGTGCCTGATGAGTTACACCTCGATATCATACAAAGCTACGACATTCCAAGCATACGGGATGAATATAAAGATTTTTTTCTGACAATCGTTTTATTTCTTAATTTAATTGTTCCGTTATTAAAAGAAGTAAAATGTACCTTTTAAGTCAGACCATTTTAACTTGTAATCCCACACACACTTTTTTGTTTTTATTAAAGCCAATGGATATCTTCTTCCTTCTTCTCGGATTTAAATGGGGAAATATTATACAATTACTGTCTTTTGATGAGGTAAATGTGTGGTTTTATTGACTTTTGAAAAACTGATATTCAAAATCCCATTCATATAGAAAAACCTACTAAAGTTCTATCAATATGGACTTGTTATTACGTTCTATGGTATTTGGTTTCAGGTAGAGAGTGATCTCATTGGCAATCATACAACATCTTCTAATTTTATATAGACCTATTATCTTACTCAAATACATATATATCGTGTTGTTTGTTGCTTGCGTAACTTCCAGTGGGAAATATTTTATGCATAGTCAGCACAACCAAACATTTGGAAGTATCCATATTGATGGGCAGAAAAAAAATATATCCTCGATTATCTGCGTAAAACGTCAAATGTTGATGTTACCAATTGAGACGCAATATCGTGGGTAACGTCACAACACAACCAATACAAGAATGTATTAAAATGAGCATATGTCCCTTTGATGTGATTGCCTATCTTAATGTGGAAAACTGATTGGGAATAGAAAAACATAAAATCACGGAGAAATTTCAAACAAGATAGTTTACAAAATAGTTTTTTGTGCATGAATCGAAAAATTTGACCACACTTCCCTGTGCGTCGTAAGAAGATACCACGTATAATTGACAGAAGAATTGAAGAGAACATACCAGAGAATGGCTGAAAAAATAGTTTGTTTCTTGTCCTTTAAAACCTTGATATTATGATTTCTCATAGTAATCTTCAAACCAAGATTATAAATATGGGACATCTTCTCATATTGCTAGGTCTCCTTTCCATGATGGTTTTATTCTTCCCATATGACGAAAATGTTTATGTTGGTTTAATATGTGTGTGTTTGACGTGAAGTATCAGATTATATTCACGTTAAACCATTTTATACAGCTGACTGTATGGTTTGGGTTTTACTCATTTTTGAAGGCCGTACGATCACCTATATTTGCTTACATCTACGTCATTTGGTTAATAGTTGTCTCATTGGCAACCATACCACATCTCGTTATTTTTATGTAAATATGTTGATTACTAAAATAAACTTTTACAACAGTCCTACAGATATTTTAAAATTGCTCAAACCCATATGCCAAACTTTATCATAAAATCTCAAAGTTTATTTTGGAAGTATAACCAAATTTGCAGAAATGAAACAAATATGGTTTTTCATACCAACTTTTTTTTTAATGTCGTAAAAAGGGGAAGATACCTTGTAGTTTTGCATTAAATCTATTTCAAAGTATGGATAAAAAGGATGGTATAACAAGACATGTTATAAACAAGTTTTTTTTTAAACTTATGTATACCATAAGTAAGTAAAGAGCGCATGATATCCCGTCGCCCTTTTAGCTCGTCTTTATGCTTTTATGAATTTATATGATCAACTTGAACCCCCCTCCCCCCCCCCCCACCAAAAAAAAAGAAGACATGCACACACAGTGGTACCCATTGACACAAAACACGAATATTTTTATGAATAAAATACCATAACTTGAAAACTCTTTTTATAATTACATGTTTGTAATATAAAAACGAAATAAGTGAAATTCATCTTATATATGCAGGGCGTTTCCTGATGTTTCAGAGTTATTTGCTATAGATCTTAAATTAAAAGTTTTTAATATGTAAAATACCTGTAAATTCAGTGGATCGGCTGGTGGAGATGCATTAAAATTATACAAATCACCAATAACATGGAAAGCGTTGGAATCTGTTCCATTAATTTTACCTCGTATTTCAATACGAACTGGTATCATAACGTTTGGGTCAACTTGTGGTAACGCCCACTTTTCTGTAACAGAAACGGAAATAATAAACCCAACTTTAAACGTCTTAAAGGGCATGTTAATTTAATTAAGCTTTAATTTACACATTGAACCATTTGGAACTTCCCAGAACTGGGATCACTGGTAAACAATTTTATCAGGGACTAATTATGCGACTGTCTAGACTAAGTGTAAAATTCCGATACCAGACGGTACGGGATGTTTCGATTATTTTTATTCCTATATACATAAATACTTTACAAGAACAGTTGCAAATGCATAATTGTAGTAGAATTTCCTCAGATTATTCGTTTTCAATGTTACTCTATGTATTTCCTGTAGACAGAAATGTGATGGCGTTTGACAAATAAATATTGACAACCCTATGATGTATTTGTGTACTGTGGTTTATTTTCTTTTTCAACTGTGATTTTTCTTTCGAGGTTTGAGTGTTAGATCTTTAACGTCGTGTGAAACGACTTCCTGGTGATTATAATTAAGGACATCATTGAA